TTTAACACTTTTTTAGATAGTAAAAACTGCTTTTTATTGAATATAACTGTGTGCATTCATAATTCTCATGTTAGTACTTCGGGGCCGGGGATACAGCTCAGCGGCACAGCGCCTGCCTGGCAAGCGCAAGGTTCTGATTTCCGGTACCAAAAAAATAGAAAATAAAAACTCATGCTAATACAAAAATGAAAAATGAAATATGTTTTGCAGAAGAAGAAAAAAAGCCAATTCTTTTAAATTACACTAATGCATCTCTCCTTTTTCGGGGGTGGGGGGAGAGGCTCTCACTATGTAGCCCAGCCTCCAATTTTCTGCGATCCTCCTGCCTCAGCCACTCGAGTGCTGGAATTACGAGCATGTGCCATCAAATTATACAAAGGTATCTTAAAGCAGGAATTTATGCTTTAATTTTGGTCCATCACAAGAATGCATAATAATATTACATTAATTTTGATGGTAACATTGCAATAACTGGCAAGTGAATTTTAATAAAACCAAAACATCTTGCAAAAGGTAGGTACATTTTACACAATTAAACTGTACCACTCGGCCGGGGATATAGCTCAGCGGCACGGCGCCTTGCTTGGCAAGCACAAGGTCCTGAGTTCAATTCCCGGTACCAATAAATAAATAAATAAATAAATAGTACCATTAAGGCAAGTTCAATTTTTCTTAACACTGATATATGTAAATGGAAATAAAACATAAAAGTGACTGTGCAAGATTTTTCAATACCTGTGCAAGTATCCTTACTACTGTCTACCAAGCCCAAAATATATGATTGCAAGCTGTTCAATCACCTATTTTTTTTCCTTTAAAACACACAGCTCTTGGCTGGGGATATAGCACAGAGGCACACTGCCTGCCTGCCTAGCACAAGGTCCTGAGTTCTAATGCCACTACCAAAAAAAAAAAAAAAAAAAAACAAACCCACAACTCTGGCAGAGGAAAATGAAATTCACTTTTCTGGGAAGAAGTGTAAACTAAGCAGTGGCTGTAGCAAATGAAAACCTTCCAGAAATTAAACTCTCCAACCCAAGCAAGAGACGGCAGCTCAACTCCTCCCCCGCAAAAAGTGCAGATTTACTTTAGGCAGGAACAAGCACTCAGGAGGCTGAGGCAGGAGGCCTCAGAACCAAAGGCTTGTTCTGGTTTGTGTCTGGGTCCTCCCAAAGCCTCATTCAGTCATGGGGCAGGCTTCTCCAGTGTGTGACTGCGTCAGGGTCCAATGCTGGGATTAAGGGTGTGAGTGCTACACCCAGCCCAGGGCAGGTATCCTGCACAGTCTCAGGGAGGGAAAGAGGCTCCCTCCACCCCCAACTCTGGTTGCTTTTGCTGTCTTCTGCCACCTCGAAGTGTTGCCCATGTGCCATGTGCCACCCTGCCTTGGAGCCAGTGGATCACAGACTGAAACCTCCACAAACTGTGAGCTAAATAAACCTTTCCTCCGTTAACCTCGGGTCGGGTATTTTGTCTCAGCAAGGAGAGAAAAGTAACTAAGACAATGCTTACTGTCCTCAACAGGAAGGGTTAATGGAAGGCTGAGGCAAGAGGATCATCAAGAGTTTGCGGCCAGCCTGCACTAGGTATTAAGACCCCATCTAAAGGGCAGAAGCTGAGGATGCGCTCACCACCCACTGCGGTCAGGACAGCCCACATCACAGCCTCAGCTGGCACCAATTTCAATAGCGTAGAGACTAAGAAACACCTTCCGCTGGACGTGAGGGCTCACACCTGTAATCCCAGCACTCTGGGAAGCTGAGGCAGGATGACTGCAGTTTGAGACCAACCTGGGCAGTTTAGCAACACCCTGTCTCAAAAATTTAAAAGTTTTACAAAAGGAGATGCAGCTCAGTGCAAAGGCCCTGGGTACAATCCCCAATACCATGGGAAAACAAACAAAGATTAAGACGCTCCTGAGTTACACGCTTATTATCCTCAATAAGCATGTTTAATGGAGCCAGGCGTGGTGGCGCACACCTGTCATCCCAGCACTCAGGAGGCTGAGGCAGGAGGATCGTTGTGAGTTTGAGACCAGCCTGGGCTACAAAGTGAGCTCAAGGCCAGCCTGAACTGCACAGCAAGACCCTGTCTCAAAGACAAAAAAAACAATGTTTCATGGGAGGCTGATGCAGGAGGATCACCATGAATTTAAGGCCAGTCTGGGCTACACAGTGAGTTCAAGGTCAGCCTGAACTACACAGCAAGACCCTGTCTCAAAAACAAACAAACAAAAAAATGTAAACGAATACTCAAGGAAGAGACAACACCAACACCCACTGCTGGGAAGCAGGCTCGCCCCTTCTGGAGATGAGAAAGGTGCCTCCATATCCCTGTAACTGCCCGAAACCTAAGAGGTGTCGGGCAGAGAAACCTCCAGAAGCCTGGAAGAGGGGTGGCAGGAGAGCCGGTGGAGCCCCGCACCATCCAGGGCCGCAGCCTCTGCTCCTAATTCATTCACTGGAGGAGACTCGCACTGGGGTTTGCACTGCTCATTTAGGGGTGAAAATGTAAATTTCTGCCAATACTCAACCCTAGCTAGATATGGAAGAAGAAAACTCCGGCCAAGTTGCTACCAAATGGAAATGCAGAATGTGTCCTTCAATCACCGTGAGAGGAGGGCGGAGGGAGAGGGCAGGGAGGACAGGCGGGGCGGGAGGAGCATCAGCACAGGAGGGAGGCCGAGGCCCCTCTGCATCCGGGCGAAGCCACCGGCCCACCTCAGCTGTCACCTTTCACCGCCCGGAAGCCTCTCGGTGCTCGAAGGCCCCGTCCCTGCCCTCTGGCTTTGTTCTCCTCATCACCTTCCCTAATTTTTGCAGGTTAAAGCAGCAGAGAAAAAACCCCAGATGTTGGGTTAGGGTTAGGGTTAGGGTTAGTTCGAAAGCCCAGACTGAGCCCAGAGGCCAGTGGGCTGCGAGGCTGCACCCTGTCACACCCTGGAGAGCGGGGGAGCCGGGAGTATCACCCGCCAGATGGGGCAGAGTGGCCAAGTGTAGGCGCCAGCCGGGTCCCACGCAGACAGGAGCGGGAAGGAAGAACCGGAAGCCCTCTGACTGCATTCCCGGGTGAAGAGGGGGAAGCCGGGGTCTGAACGCTGGGGGCCCCCAGCCCACAGCTGGAACCTCACACGCACTATGATGGGACTAGGAGGTCACTAGACCCCTTGGACCGGATCAGCGCCCTCACCCAGCTGGCCCCCTCCGCCACACGAGGACACAGCGTGAAGGAAAAGCGCTGGGCGAGCCGCATCTGCGGCGTCCTGACCTGGGGCTCCTCCGCCCTTGCACCGGAAGCCCCGAGTCCCATGTTTGTAAGTCACCCGCCCGGAGCACCTGGCAAGCAGAGGGACGGACGGAGCAGAGGGCGACGGTGCAGGACCCCCTGGGCGAATCTCCTCGAAGGAGGAGCAACTGCCTCCATTTGGGCTGAGCCTCACCCTCCTCCAGGTACTGATGTGTGCAGAGCAGGCTGGGGCTTTTCCTTATCCCTTCAACTGGCTTTAAGCAATGCACAGTGGTCCAGCCAGGGTCCTGAAGGTAGTCTTTGAAGATGGCAGGGGTGTTTCCCTGGACCTCTGTTGTCTTGTGTGAGCTGCACGAGGCGGGGTAGGGGGCCTGCTCCACGCTGTCGGCTGGGACCAAGCCTCAAGACAGAGGCTAGGACTGCCCAGGGGTTAGAAGATGGCACGCACACCCACCCCAGACCGTTAGGTACTATCTCAGCTGCACTATGCAGATTACTCTTCCTGCACATCCTTCTCTCTGCATTGCGGAGGTGATTTCAGGCCTCCTACCCAGCCCAGCTCACGGCACTCACCTGCTCCCTGCCATTCTCACAGTCACTCATCCTCAAGCCGCTCCCTTCTTCATGAATGAATAAAACCAGGTTTGGCCCTGGGTGGAGGCCTTTGTTCTGGATGGCCATCAATCACTGCGGCTGGACTTAGGACCCCTGGGCTCCCCACAACTACACATACACCTAGTGTCTTCATCCTCACCACGGGTTGCACTGGAAGTGGCAGATGGGAATTAACTCCCTAGAACGCCAGTAACTTTCCACGGGACTACAGACGTAAACGTCCCGGCCCTGAGGAGGGCCGGGAAGGGCTCTCCGTAGGCGAGGCCGCCTCTCGGGGACCCACGGCGCCAGGCAGGCCCGGCCAAACTCAGGGCCAAGAACAAATCCAAGCTAAACGCAAAGAAAGTGAGTAACGGCAGCAACTGCCGAGTTCCCGGGTGCTAACTCCGTGTCCAACACCACAGGCGCCTTCGGGTTCTCACTTACTTCTCAGAACAGCCTGCTGCGGCTGCACCCAGGTCAGGAGAAGGCCCGAGAGCGCAGTCACTAGAGCCGCGTGGTCCTCGCCTTTGCGAGTATCCTCACGGTCACCGAGAGCACGGGCTCGCTGCCCCCGGCTCACAGCCGCGGACGGCGGACTTTCGCAGGATGACCAGGGGTGGCCTCGATGATCTGCACTGACAGCCTGAGCACCTCCCACTCTGGGACTCCCAAAGGAACAGGAAACGCCAGCCAGGCGTGGCAGCACACACCTCCCGGCACTCGGGGAGGCTGAGGCAGGAGGATTCCAAGTTCAAGGCCGATTCAGCAACTGTGTCTCAAAAACTCAGAAAAGGGCTGAGGATATAAAGCTCAGTGTGAAGGCCCTGGGTTCAACCCCCAGTACCACAGAGGAAGAGGCCGAGAGTAGGGTGAGAGCGGAAGCGGAAGCAAAGGAAGGGGAGGAGAAATGCCGCACAACACACTGTCCACAACTCCACCCGCAGCAAACAGCACTGCCAGCGCCCTCCCGTGTCCTACGCCCAGCCTGTCCTCTCCCGCGCGGCCGGCCCTAACTCTGCTGCTCGGCCTCTGGTGAGAAGACGCGGTCTCCGGGAGCAGCTTCCTTTGGGGGCTGGGGAGGACAGTGGGACAGGACGGGGCAGGATGCTGGGAAAGGGGCTGGGGATGGTGCAACAGGGGCAGGCACAGGGACCCACCGGCCAGCATCAGGGCGCGGATGCACTCCGTGCGGCCCTGCATGGCCGCTTTCATCAGGGCCGTGAAGCCGAACACGTTCCTCCTCTCCAGGTCCAGGCCGGGGAAATAGTTCAGCAGGTAGTTGGTGATGGTGGCGTGGCCTGCAACGAGAGACGCACACAGTGAGAACGAGAAGGGAGACGGGGCCGCGTCCTCCTGTCCCCGTGCGCCTCCACCCCCGTGGCAGTCAGCTTCTCCCGGCTCCGGGACGCTGGAGGGCAAAGCACGCCGTGTGCTGCAGGGCCCAGGTTTCTTGCAAGCACACCCGGCAGCTGCCACCTGGAGCTGCTCTCCCCAGGCCCGGGGGGGGGGGGGCAGGGCAGCGGGAGCGCAGGAAGGGCAGCAGCTGTGAGCTCCCAGCAGGAGCTGCTGGCAAACCGCTGCAAACGAGCTGGAGCTCAGGTCCCCAAGGGCTGAGCTTATCCCAGCAAGTGGGCGTCACCCACCCGGGCATCCGATGCCTCTGCTGCCTCTCGGAAGCTTGTGTCTGTGTGTGTCTATTACACGCACGCACGCACGCACGCACACACTGCCCGTGGCCACAGAGCTACGCAGGTAAGAATATTCACTCGAAAACAGACTTCTCGGGAAGGTAGATCCTTTGCAGGTGGGGAGGGAACGAGAGATGCGGGGGGGGGGGGGACGGAGCCATGTCACCCCCCTGAGGAGTTTGGTCGGTGCGCACGGCATACCTGCATGACACGAAGCAAAGGAAAGCCCATTTTTAAAAACAGAACATGGATTTCTCCCTTTTGTCACCTTGCTCCTCAAATAAATAAATGAATAGGCAGGCAGGCAGGCAGACGCGCTGTTCTGCTTCTCCCCAGAGACTCTCGGAATGTGCAGGACCTCGTGGTTAGGGTGATCGCAAGCACAGAGGCGGCGTTTCCAGGGCGACCGCAGAGAACGCACACCTCCTCCCCCGCAGCCCGGGCAGCCCGCCCTGCCCCTCCTGATCGCCCATCCGCAAGAGCAGGGCCCTGGGCGCCCCCTCAGCGGCCTTGGTTTGGGGCTGCACCCCAGCGGCACCGCAGTCTCCGCCCATATCTAGATGACAGGACAGCAAAGCCACCCGCTGCCCACGTTGTGCCAGCCGCAGCCCAGCGCCGCCACGGTCCCTGGGGTCGCCCCGCAGAGCAGCCCTCTCCTCAAGGCCAACCCTGCCAGGCAGAGGCAGCTCCCCTTGGGCCGCTTCGTGTCAGTGACCCCGGCCCAGGCGCCGCTGCTCCCAGCCACGCTCGCACATCACAGACCCGGCCGGAGTCACCCTGCACATTCTCACGTCTCTCATCAGGGCCACAGGACGGGCCCTCACAGGCGTTATCCCGGCCTCACCGGCGTCACCCCAGGGCACCCATGGCCCAGAGCCCCTCCCAGAGCTACCCTGGCAGCTTCCCCTGCGCCCTGGGCCTCCCGAGACCAGCGCGCTCGGCCTGTACTGCCCCAGCCCTGCCCGTGTCCTTCGAGCAGAGAAATCCGCTCGCACTCGGCCCCTGCGGCCGGTCCCGTCATCCCGAGTGCCTCCAGCCATTCACGCGTCCTCCTGTTCTGGGTCCGGGACCAGCCTGAGCTCCGCCAGCTTCTCAGGCCAAAGCCTCTTAGCATTGCTCCTTCCTCACCAAGCTTTTTCATGTAAATCTGTGCTTTTGTTTTAATTTCCATTACGGCCCAAAGCAAGGGCCCCGCTGGCTGGCAACCCCTCCCCAGCGCCGGCGCCCAGGGAATCCTTCCAAGCTCCCCTCCTCCCTCTCCCGATCCTGGTCCTGACTTCCCTGTCCCCACTCCCGTCCCCCATCCGGGCCCTGGACGGCTGCTGGCGTCCCCGCTGGCACCACCCGGTCTCCATGCCACAGCATGAGGAGGTGAGTTCGAGGGCAGCCCAGACTACACCATGAGACCTTGTGTCCAGAAAAAAGTGCAGTTCACCAAATGCAACCAGTAGAGGGAGGCAACGGCTTTGGAAATGCTACTCCCACCAGCCACGCAGGAGAGAGGGGCTCCCGGGAGCCCTGGTCAGAGTCAGAAAAAGGAAAGAACTGCAGCTGGACGAGCAGGGCGGGCTAGGCCGGGGGTGCTTTGTGGCTCTGCCAGACCCCGTCTCGAAACAAAATTTTAAGAGCGGGTGGGGTATGGCTCAGCACAAAGGACCCGGATCTAGGCCGGGTGTGGGGGTGCACACCTGTAATCCCAGCACTCGGGAGACTGAGGCAGGAAGATCATTGTGAGTTCGAGGCCAGCCTGGGCTACAAAGTGAGCTCAAGGCCAGCCTGATCTGCACAGAGAGACCCTGTCTCAAAAAGACAAAAGAGAACAAAGGACTCAGGTTTGATCCCCAGTGCTGAAAAAAGAAAGTACGAGGCGGAGGGAGGGAGGAGCAGCAGCCTTTCACCCCCGGTTCTGGCACCTGGTGAACGCCCTGCACCAGGCCCTCCCCTCTGTGCCGGAGCATGCCCTCCACCTGCAGCCACGCCCACCCTGGCCCGGGTGTGGGCAGCGCCAGGAGCCCCAGGCCAGTTGTTGGAGCGCCTCCTTGAGATTTAATGTCACAGCTAGGAACGGCAAGTGGGGGGGGACTCGTGGAGGCCACGGTCCAAGCCATGGTCCATCCCGGCCCCTCCTCACGTCACCGTTCCGTTACGGGGGACAACGAAAGGGTGGAAGTGGCCCACGCTGCCCGCGGGGCCTCCTGCCCGCTGCTTTGGGTGGTCTTTAGTTTTTGGAGGTGCAGGGTTCATCTGCACCCACCCACCCCACTCGAAAGGCCCCAGACAGACAGGGCTGCACTTCTATCCCAGATCAGCTCTCCCAGGTCAGACTCTGCCACAGGCCCCTAACGCAGAGGGACACCTGCCCCGTGAGTGACACCCGTCCACACCAGTCCGCTGGAAGCCACCGCTCCTCGCTCTGGGCAAACCCAGCTGCCCCAGCAGACAACGTCGACAGACGCTCGGTCGGTGCAGCTTTGCCAAACACCACCACACAGCTTGGGGTGAACCGCTACATCTCCGCACCCTCTGTCATCCCACTGCCCCGGCCAGCAACCTGGGTTGGCAAGGGCTTCTTTTCCTTTAACTGTATTTTTTGCCAGGCGGTGGCCGTGAGACAGGGTCTTGCTATGTGGTTCAGGCTGGTCTTGAACTCACTGTGTAGCCCAGGCTGGCTTTGAACTTGCGGTCATCCTCCTGCCTCAGCCTCCCCAGCAATGGGATTACAGCCAGGTGCTACTATGCCCGGCCTCCTGTATCACACAAGGGACGCTGGCAGGGGCTTGTTCCTCTTCCCTGACGCCCCCGCACAATTCCCCGCTGCAACGTGGAGCTCTGGTATTGGAGCTGCTGGGGCCACTGGTACCAAAAGGGCAAAGCCACGTGCGTTTCTGGGAAGCCACCGCGGGTCCCCGCTCCACCCAGCCGCTCCGTGAAGCGTCACCAGCGCCCCCTTTGGCCACGTTTGCTGCAGTGAGAGGCCGCTCTCCACTGCTGAAGCCAAGAGCCCCGGACTGGACAGGAGCGCATGTGTGAATCCGAGCCGGAAGTGGACCCGGGAGTCGCCACTCAGAGGGGCAAATGCAGAGCGGTCCGCAGAGTGGCGTGCGCCTCCCTGGCACCAGCCCCGCCTCAGGACCCTCTGGCTGCCTCAACCCTCGACCCTCGTCACGGCCCTGGCCAGCTCCTCTGCCCCAACCTCCCCGGTCCCTGCAGCGCCTGCCCCCGACTCCTGCAAAGGCGGGAGCCCCGGGGCCCATCCGCGCCGATACCTCTGCCCCTCCCCTCGGCCAGATCCGCCTGGCCCTGCGCAGAGCCGCGCTCCTTCCTGCCGCGCAGTGCAGAGAGAAGGCCCAGAGAGACGCCCCGCGGTCAGCACGCACAGCTTCCGCACCGCTGTCCGTCCAGAGCTGTGCAGGTGGAGCGCGAGGGTGAGGCTCCCGCTGTCAGCTCAGGAGCCCAAGGACTCGGAAAGAGACCAGTGCTCTTTTTCACGGGGCACAGGAGGCGGCGGGGGCAGACCTGTCATCCCAAGGCTCTGGGAGGCTGAGGCAGGAAGATCACAATTTTGAGCCAAGCTTGAGCAACTCAGTATCCTAGGAAGATGTTGTCTCAAAATAAAAATAAAAAAGGGCTGGGGATGCAGCTCACTGTGAAGGTCCTGGGTTCAATCCCCAGTAACTCAAAAAGAAAAAGAAAAGGTCAGTTTATATTCTTGGTCAAGGGCACAGTTACACATCAAGTGTGATTACAAAGGCACAAGGATAACTTTCTGGTTTGTCTAAAACCTCTCTGGGCTGGGCGTGGTGGCGCACGCCTGTCATCCCAGCACTGGGGAGGCTGAGGCTGGAGGATTGTTGCAAGTTGAAGACCAGCCTGGGCTACAAAGAGAGCTCAAAGCCAGCCTGAACCACATAGCGAGATGCTGTCTCAAAAGACAAAAAAGAAAAAAATTAATAAATAAATGAAGTGTCTGAACACTGAGCACTTTTTTTGAGTGTGAGAGACAGGGTCTTGTGTAGTCCACACTGACCGTGACATTGCAGGCATCCTCCTGCCTCAGCCTCCCAAGTGTGTGTATTACAGGCACGCTCCCCCAGGGCCCGCTAACTGAACACAACCCTACTGAACACAACCCTAACAGCAGGGCCCTTGGCACTGGTGACCCAGCTGGCCGCTTGAGTGCCCACGAGGGGCCTGACACGCCCTTGGACAAGGGTCTACAGGACTCAGAAATTTAGTGTCACCAGTGCGTATACCCTGCGGGCTCCCGGAAAGCACTTCCTGGTGTCTCTCTCCACCCACAGGCGAGGGGCGCCTGCTTCGGGGAAGGGCGTCCCTAGCACAGGGCCCTTCCCGCCCTGGGCCACCGCCCGGCGCAGCGGCGTGGCCAGCCTTACCTGCCTGCGCGGCCGTGATTAGAGCCGTGTTCCCCTCGCTGTCCTGCCAGTTCACGTCAACGTGGGGGCACTCCGCCAGGGCCACCACGCTGTCCACAAAGCCGTGGTAGCAGGCGACAATAAGGCCGGTCTGGAAACAAGAGGGGCAGCGGGTCAGAGGCCGGGCGGAGCCGGTCGATGGGGCTGGGGACCCCAGGAGCCCTGCGGTGCTCCGGGACGGGAGAGGCGACAACCAGGGGCCCAGCCCCAGCCCCACAACACCAGCGCACGCTCACCACCGGCCTCCCCCGCAGCGTGGGCGCAGCTGAGGGCGCAGCTGAGGGGCGTGGAGAGGACAGCGCAGGTTGGGGCCACCCCAGGAGCCAGCCAGGTGCCCACAGGGCTGGGCAAAGAGAGGAGAATCCCGGTGACCCCAAAGTTCCCGCTATCAAAGGGTCAGGGGACCTGGGGGCTGGGGACAGAGGTAGGAGAGACTGCCTGGCAGAGCTCAGGGCTGCAGCGGGTGGCGTTTTTTCTCCTGTCTTGTTTTCTGCGAGAGGGTCTCGCTACGCAGCTCAAGCTGGCCTTGAACTTGTGATCCTCCTGCCTCAGCCTCCCGGGTGCTGGGGTTATAGGCTGGTGCTGGGGTTATAGGCATGCACCACCACGCCCAGCCCTTAATCACTTCCATTTTTACAGGAAGCAACTCGGCAGAAGGCACTGACCTCCCTCTGCGAGCCCCTCATCCCCTCTGCCCCAGCCGCCCCAGAGCAAGCACCCTTAGATGCCACTGTGCCCACGCCCCCTTTTGCTCTTATCCTTGTCACAAGTGCGTGTGTCCACGTGACACAAACGGCCTCTGCTGCAGGAGCCTGGACCTGGCTTGTGGAATCACTGAGTGCCGGATGTGAGCTCCATCCCAGGGCTGGCAAACATGTCCGCATGGCACAGGTCTTGGTGGGGGAGCCCTAGAGCACCATTCACCCCTCCCCCAAATGACAGACAGTACTTTAGACTTTGTTCTCTAAATCACCACACTGCAAATTCAAAGCACAGAAATAAAAACTTAGAAAGCCTGTAGTCCCAGCATTCAGGACACTGAGGCAGGAGGATCACCATGAGCTCGAGGCCAGCTGGGCCACATAGTGAGTTCAAGGACAGCCCAGACTGCATAGCAAGTCCTTGTCACAAAAAATTAAATTCTCTAGTAATCCCCTGATGAAAGAGAAAACTAATCCTAATGTGTATTTTATTTAACCCAACTTACTCTAAACATCATCGTTTCAGCATGTGATCAATACAGAAAAGGAAAGAGACAGTGACTTTCTCTTCGGCCCATGTCTGGGTTGTGTTACTGCCAGGATCCCTAGGAAGGGTTGCAATTATTTTTCCTGCACCTGCTACTGGCTTTTTAATTTACTGTCCAATTTTTTTTTTTTTTTTTTTGCTTTTTTGAGACAGGGTCTCACTATGTAGCCCAAGCGGGCCTCAAACTTGCAGCGATCCTCCTGCCTCAGCCTTCCCAGTGCTGGGATTACAAGCTTGTGCCACCATGCCCGGCTGCCGTCCAATTTGGAGGCAAGTGGGGTACACTCAGTTTTTCCTTTCTGAGACTCCGGAGGCCCTTCCTATGGAGGAACTCAAAGCCCCTCCCACACACTGAGCGCTCCAGGTTCCCAGGGGGTCCTCATCCCCGGCTCTCTGACCCTACTGCCTTCATCTCGGCACACGACACTGCAGAAACCTCGTTTTACTTTTCCCAGACACTTCCCCAGCCGTTTGCGCACACAGCTGCTCTGCCTGCAGAAGCCGACCGAGAGCAGCACACCAGCATCCAGAAATGTGTGAGGGCTCGCTTCTGCGGCTCCACCAGCCCACCTGGGCCCCAGAGTGACCCGAATCTCACTGCAGTATTGATCGCCCTGCCCCTCGCTTTCAGAACTGCAGCACCTGCTCCGGAGGCGGCTTCCCCATGTGGGACACACCATCCCAGTGCGACGCGGGGCACAGCGGGTCTCACGGAGGTGTAGGTCGGGGGCACTCACACTGACTCTGTAAGTTCCACTCCCTGCTCGCTGAGCACACAGGTATCCCGGGCACAGGCTGGAAGGGGCAGGAGTTGAGCCTCCGTTTCAGCCACCGCAAGGGCAGCGTGTGTCACCATGCTCAGCTCAGCCATTCCGAACGCAGGCATCCTCACAGCATACATCTGTGAAGCACTGCGTGTCCCGCTGTCTCCCGACCTCCCCTCCCCGGGGAGAACCAACTTTCACTTCCAGGTTTCGTCCCGGGCCAGTTGGCTGGGCAAACTTACAAGGACAAGACAGCGAGGGACTCACAGCTTTTCCACTCCCTCCGTCCGCTCGGCTGGGTTTGGGGCTTGAAGGAGCACACTGCAGGCGTGCTGGGTGGGCCACGGCGGCGGGGGCCTTTGGGACTGGATCTGGTCCCTGCCCTTCCTCTGGCGCTGTCCCCTTCTCTGTTTCCCGGCCACCATGACGTGAGCAGCTCCCCTCCGCTAGCCCCTTCCGCCATGATGCTCCTGTCCTGGAGCAGCCAACCGTGGACTGAGCCGCTGAACCCGTAAGCCGGTGACTCCTCTCCTCCTTTAACTGCTGGATGTCACAGCATCATGTCTGGGAGCGTGAAAGCTGCCGAATAAGCTTGCAAACAGAAATGCACACACCACATATTCCCAAGCTCCCACCCAGGGCCAGGCCGGCAGCTCGAGCCACAGTTCTGCACCGGGCGGGACCCACACCCACGCCTGACCCGAGGCGGCCACACACGGCGTCCTGGGCTGTGCTGGCTCCTTCACGCCTGCCCGGTTGGGCTTCCCACTCCTCACTGGCCTGCACTGGGGCCCCGCAAACTGCAGCTCGAGGCCGTGGACACCCCAGCCCTGCCCACTCACTGCACTACCCGGTGCACTCCAGCCCTCAGCAGACGCTGGCCCCCACGCACAGGCGGTGTCCCAGCGCTCAGCTTTGCTCCCCTCATGTCTGCCGTCGGTGAAACACAGGTAAGAATTTGTTGTGTGTGTCGACACTGAACCCAGGACCTTCACACTGAGCTACATGCCTAGCACTTTTTTTATTTTTTACTTTGAGACAGGGTCTCAATATATCACTAAGCTGCCCACGCTGGCTCAAACTTGACATCCTCCTGCCTCAGCCTCCCAGAGCACTGGAATTACAGGCGTGCACCGAGGACCCCTGGTTAGCACTCCTTGTTTGGTTTGTGCTGCTGAGGTCCAGCGCCTGCTCTGCCACCGCGCTCTCCCTGCAAGGGAGCGGAGCCTCCTACCCCAGCCCATCTCTGCTTCCTCTGACCCGAGGCCAGCCCAGGGCTCCACGAGCTTCCGGCCTCCATCTGTCTCCACCTTCAATAACAGAAAGGACTCGAAGTCCTGGAAACCTGAAAGCAGAGCTGGTGGGAGGCATCGGTCCTGGCCAGTCCCCCTCGTGGGAAGGACAATGGAAGTGGCCTGGGAACGCTGCCCTGGGAACTCCCAAAAGACATCGGGGGCGACGAGAGCTCGCAAAGCCAGGCACGCTGGCAGTGCAGGACAGCGAGGGCTCCAACAGCGTCCGCGCCGCTGCCTGTCAAGGGGCGCGCACGTAAAGCAACCCGTGTACAGTCTACACTGGCAAAGTGCGACGGATGATTTTGTTTGATTCATGCATTTCTGCTTCCAATTAAGAGCTGCCTAATAAGACGTTTTAAATAAAGAAACAGGATAAGCACTAATAAAAAATATGGAAAATAAGTCAAAAGAAATTCTTGCCAAGGCCAGGGCCCCGGGGATTGTTGACAATTCGAAACAATTTCCCTTCAGGACTAAGTTTTGCATAAAATGTGAGATGTTACTTGTTTTGTTTTTGAGACAAAGTCTCACCATGTATTCCAGGCTGGCCTCAAGCTCACTATGTAGCCCAGGCTGGCTGCAAGCTCACAGTGACCCTCCTGCCTCAGCCTCCCTAGTGCTGGGATTACAGGCATGCATCACCACACTCAACAAAATATGCATTTTATTATCACTCAAAACCTTTTTTGGAGGTAAGATCTTGGGTTGCTAGTAATTTTCTGAGCTTGTTTTGCTGCCTGTTTATATCTCAGAGGCTGACCCATCGCGTCAAGGCTAGGAGTGGTTTGCACATGGCTCTCTCACACCCACCCAGGGACAGCAGGAAACAGCACCAGCTAAGCTAGGCTGAAGGCAGCGGCTGTGTTCCTCACAGCATTACTCACTTAGTGATTCTGAAATCAGCATGCCAGAGCATGCTTGTCACCCCAGCACTCAAGAGGCTGAGGCAGGCAGATTGCCACAAATTCAAGGCCAGCCTGGACTACATAGAGAGACCCTGTCTCAGAAAACCAAAGCAAAACAAAGTGACACTCTTTCTTACAATGAATACTTATTTCTACTTATCATCACAAAATATAACATTCTTAAGGAAATAAAAATTCTGCCAAAGAACCCCATCTCTTGCTTAATTACATAACCAAGTTCACAGGTTTTGAGGAAAAAAGAAGGCTGCTTTCTGTCTAAAGAAAGAGTTGAGAGAGTATAAATAAACTTATTTTTTCTAATTTTAATTTTTTTTTTTTGAGACAGGGTCTCGCTACACAGTTCAAGCTGGCCTTGAGCTCACTTTGTAGCCCAGGCTGGTCTGAACTCACAACAATCCTACTGCCTCAGCCTCCCGAGTGTTAGGATTACAGGAGTGCGCCACCACACCGGCTTAATTCTTTTTCTTGAGACAGAGTCTCACTATGTAGCCCAGGCTGGCCTCTAAACTATAATGATCCTCCTGACTCAGCCTCCTGAGTGCTAGGATTATAGGCCTGTGCCCTCATGCCTGGTTAAACAAATTTATAACACAAAATCCATCAATCAGTGAGAAACAAACTGTACCTTTCAAGATCTATAGCTTATGATCAGCTTTAGGAATTTCTCACAAAAACACTCCATAAAACTTCAAAAAAGGCATCTAAATTGTGCACTAATGCTGAATTCAAAGAACTGCACCTCCTTTTAGCTAAGTGGTCTCCGTCTGATCCTCCCTGTGGCCCAAGAAGGCACTCGGACCTCAGCCTGGACATGAATGACAAATCCTGTTTCATCTCACAGAAGGTGCTGCAGAGCTGAGTCCAGTCGGCCTGTGAGGTGGAGAGCCGCCGGCTGGCCAGTCACCCCCAAATCCACCAAGGGGCCAGCCACTTCCTGTCGGTTCAGGTTCCACCCCAGCCACTTGAAGGGGACCCCAGGCCAGCAGCTATGGCAAGAAATCCACAGCCCGAGGTCCCACTCAGACTCCAGAATTAGGAATGAAATAGGATCAAAAGTACAGTCAATGTTTAAATTAAAAAACAACGTATTACAGGAAAACACACACTGCCATTAATCCACCCCTTGCCTCACACACACTCACCCGATCGTTCCTAACGCTCTCCGCAGCAGCTCCGGAGCCCTCTTCCACGAGCACCTCCAGCTGTGCTGTCACGGCTCCCGACGTTTGTCCTGCACCCATTCCAAACGTTTCCCTGTCACGGTCATTTAGACAGTGGCGAGGCGGCGGATGAGGACACAGGGCCGTGTTTCTACGAGCTGCCTTTCTGTGAGATGGTGCCTGGCGGCAGCACTCCCCATACTATTTTTTTCTTAATCACACTTGGGGAAGACATTCAGGAAAGAGAACTCCAGAGCCGCTGCAGAAAGTGGCAAGAAAGATGGGATGAGGGGGCTGGGGATTTAGCTCAGCGGCACAGTGCCTGCCTGGCAAGCGCAAGGTCGTGAGTTCGGTTCCCAGCACCAAAGTGGCAAGAAAGATGGGATGAGGGGGCTGGGGATTTAGCTCAGCGGCACAGTGCCTGCCTGGCAAGCGCAAGGTCGTGAGTTCGGTTCCCAGCACCAAAAAAAAAAAAAAAAGACGGGATGAGTGTGGTCAAAGCAAGGGGGAGGTATTAAGGGATGCATGGCAACGCGTCTTTTACTATAATCAACTTTTCTATATTTACGAATTCAGTCAGGCAAGAGGTCACAGGTAGAAGGTCAGATCCCAAGACATGGCACCCGCGTTCACTCCCAAGCAGTGGAGAAAGCGCCCCCAGGGTGGAGGGTGGTCCTGTGCACCAGGGAACCTGACCAGCACCCCGAGAGCTGCTGCTAGAACCTGGGGCACTGGCTCGGCCTGAAGATGCGCACCGATCAAGCCTAGCAACACTGACAGCTTCCCGTCGGAAGTTCAGGCTGGGAAGGACCGGAAACACCAGGGACAGGGACACAGACTGGTACCGGCCGGAGGGAGCACCACAGGCCAGGGGAGGGGGGGACCGCGTCGAAGTGCACAGGAGCCTCGGGGAGAGGAGCCAGGTCTGGGCCTCAGGTCAGGACTGAGCACGTGGAGGGATGAGCGTGGCTGCAATCCCAGCACTCTGGGAGGCTGAGGCAGGAGGACTGTAAGTCTGAACCTAGCCTGGGCAACTCAGCCACTTTGCAGACCCCATCTCTGAGCAAAGCATTAAAAACTGAGCTGGGATGCGGCTGTGTGAAGGCCACAAGGAAGGTGGGGAGAGGGCGCTGGAAACCCTCCCAGAACCGGCACGGGTGGAATTTTCCTTCTGAAACCCTGACTCCCAGAGCAGGCGAGGAGGGAGGCAGGAGCCTGGCCGCTCTCGTCTATTTTCAAAATATTCCTTAAATACATGGCCCTCCTGCATTTCTCTTTTAAATTTCAACTGAGTCACTGACTGATCTGCGATTTCAGTGTAACTGAGGCTGACAGCTGTCTGTCTGAGTCACACCGTCAGGGCTTCATCGTGACATTCCGGGCCCGGGCGTCTGTCCTGCAGGTGCTCACTAATGTCTTCTCACTGGATTTTTTCTTTTTTGGTAAAAAAATTTAAATTACAACCTTTTTCCAAATGTGAAGGTGCTCGATATCATTAGTCACAAGGGAAATGCAAATTCGGCCCACGAAGAGAAAGCGCCACACACCCACCAGCAGGGCTAAAATTAAAGACTGACAATGCCAAGTGTTGGCGAGGGTGTGGGCCCCACGTTCCCGGCAGGTGGGAGGGAAGACAAGGCACCACGGCTTCTGTTCAAGCCCGGAGCACGCCTTCATCAGGACCCTGCTACCAGCGATGCCGCCGTTGACCCCGCAAAGGGCAGGCGGGACGAGAACATTCAGGGCAGCTTTATATATAGCAGCCAGTCACTGCAAGCAGCTCACAGCTCACCGAGAGATGACTAAGCAAATCCCGCTGCACTCAAACTTAGGAAACTGCTCAGCCTCAGGAGAAGGGCAGCCTGAGCTTCCTGCACCCACATCTCAAACCCGACCGCCCCGACGCCCAGTGGGGCGAGCTGGCCGGTTCTACCCCATAAAACCCCGAAACGGGCAAGAGTAACCCACGGTGACAGACCGAGGACCTTTGTCCCAGCGTGGCAGGGGAGAGCCGGATCTCAACCGGGTTGACGTTTACATGTAC